AAGTTGTAATGATAGGAAATGGAGAATGTTTTCTATATAAAATAAATGCGTCTAAAGGTAAATAAGGTAAAACTGTGCAATCCAACGATCTGTCCCCAAATGGAGCCCCCACCAGGTCAGGCCCCCACTGCAGGGATTCACCCCCTCGAAGCTGGCGGGCGCCAGCCTGTGTGGGCCAGTCTTATGTGCGTGCAGGCATGTGCTGCGGTTCTGCGTGTCACCCCGAGTGGAAAGAGAAATATTTCCTTTCCACACTTCTGTAGTCTCATAAATCAGCTGGGCTCGGGTAGCAGTGAAGGAAAAAGAAATGTTCTTCAGAGTGAATATAAGTCTTTTTATTAAAAAAACATTTTCTTGAGGTAATTATAAGTAATGGCAGATTCATTACAGCGGTCTACTTTGCATACCCATTGCTCCGTGTCATTTTTTTTTAGTTCCTTTTTTTTTTTCTTAGACAACACTGTAAATACTCCTATGTCAAAACCACACAGCGGCAGAGTACAAAGACTGTAGTTCTGGGCCCTTGCACCTTCGTGAAGGAAGTTGTTAGGAGAGGACGGGCAGAGAGAGAACGTGGATAAAACAAAAAGTCTGGGCGGTGGAGGGTCATTCACAGCCTTAGCACAAGGACACAGCAAGTGCCCAGGATGTCTGGGTGCGTCAGAACATATTTCTTAATCTTCCATTGCGGCTGTAACATATTACCCCAAACTTAGCGGTTTACACAAAACGCAACACAACTGTATTGCCTCATATTTAGGGGTCAGCAATGTTCCACGAGCATCACGGGGCTAAAATCAAGGGGTCTGCTGAACTGCGTCCCACCGAAGGCTCTAGGGATCCATCTGTTCCCTTGCCTTCCTCGACTCTAGAGGGCGCTCTAGTTCCTTGCCCTGTGGCTCCTTCTTCTCTTAGGAAGGAAGGACTCTTCCTCCGCCACTTCCCACATTTCAAGGCCTTTCGTGGTCGCATGAGTCCGTTCGTCCACTCAGATAATCCGGACAACTTCCATCTCTGAAGGTTACATTACAGGCAAGTTTACCCCTCTTGCAACCTTAACCCCTCCTTGCCACGTGAAATAACATATTCAGACATTTCTGGAGTTTGGGCATTTCCTTCTTTGCGGAGCCATTACTCTACCTCTTCTGTCTCATCGGTACAATTAGTGCCCCCTCACTGGACTCTTATCTGTATATTCATTTCTCCGGCACCCTAATTAAATATAATACAGTAAGGCTGGGGCTTAGACTTGGCACCAAGAATTCTCCGACACCAAACGTTCTCTTTCCGTTCTGGGAAGATGAAATTCCTAAAACTGAACACCGGAAACTCATTAACAAAAAAAAAAAAAATCATGCTTGGGAGACTTACATGTTGTAGGTAACTGTCTCACCTCAGAGCGCTTGGACCTTCATCCCTTTCTCCAACTCACGTTTCATCACACGTTTTCATTAAAACGGTTACTATTAAATGTGAATCTAATTTCACATTTATGGCTCTTCTTAGCATTTACTCTAGGATCTGCATAGATAACACAACTTTCAGACTTCCTGCCACACCCTCATGTTGCAGTATTTCTTGGACATGACACGATTTTCTGGCCTATTTTTTATTTTGGCATGTGTTCAACCTCCTTCAGAGCTTATTGGTTTCCCACAAAGTGCACTGGTGGTGCATAATGAAAGAACAAGAATTTGAAAGACAGGTTGCTCACTTAATTCTGTAGCAAGAGAAAGTAGACTGTTTATAATGTTTACCCCATTTATTCACTTATTTTGCAAAAAAAGAAGTCAGCTCTTTAGTACATTTGCAGTATATTTAAACCCACTTCAAGAATGAATAAAGACAGAAGAATGGGAACATCTTGGGTCATGGTGGTTATTCACACAGACAGCAAGTATCTGAAGAAAAGACAACCACAGCAGGCTGGCTCCAGAATTCTTCCAAAGCAGGTGCCATTTTCACTAGATCTTCACATTTACAGGTGTACGAATGTGTGATACATAGGATTTCACTGTGTTACACACTAAAATTCTTCCTAAAAGGACATAGACTGCTAAAACATGGTTTTTTGAATGAAAATTCTTGCTGGACGGGTTTTGTCCTCCTTCACCTTCAAGGTATGTGGTCCATCACCATCCTGAGAAAATATTGTTCAGATTTGTACCTCACAGAGGGCACGGCAATAGATGATCTCAGAGATTACTCATTACATCATTTCACTTATTCTTTCTCTGAACAAAAGTCTTTTGATTTAGAAAATTTGCTGTTATGTAAATCAATATATGTCCTCAATTTAGATTTAAACATTAGGCACATCAGACCATTATAAGAATTTAAATTTTTATGCATGATAATTTATAATTAAGTAAATTCCAACTGATAATGAAATAATACTTTATTTAATAGCTTAATTTCTCTTGTTTAATAAAAATAACAATTTTAATTTTTGACTTAATTTTTTAATATCTTTATAGTTTTCTGATGAATCACCTCTTTCAAAAAGATCTCACAGAAGTACACAGTGGAACATTCTTATTATCCTCCTTTATTTTCTTCATGGGATTGAAAATTAAAAGAATATTTGACATTATCTTATTTATGCATGTATTCACTTCTGATATCCATTTCTCCTACCACAACTGTAATGTCTATGAGCTGAATGTACCAAGATCAATACCAACACAGAGTAGGTGCTCAGTACTTCCTTTGAATAAGGGAATGAATGCATCAGTGAACTTCAAGTTCAACTTCAGAATCATAGTCTCGAATTTAGTTAACTACATTAGTTCATTCAGAAAAATAATGATGATAAAAATTAACGTTTATGTAGATTTTAAAGTAAAAATCTCATTTACATTAAGATTCTGAAAGAGGATGGTGAAAATCTGTTTTTCTGGCATGAATAATCTCCCTCATCTAGTAAAGAACAGATTTGGAATTCACACAATTTTCCTAGCAATAACAAGTCGAAACCAACCACAATTAAAACAGTAGGAATCCCCTCAATTCTATAGGGCACACTCTGCATTAATTATTTAATTTGTACATTCTCAGTTCTTTCTCGCAACACAATAAGGTAGGAATTATCAGACTCTTTATTACCCCAATTAAGAGTTGATTAGATTGAAGTTGAGATGTTTTTGAAAGCTCCAATGAACTAATAAGAAGCCGGAACTCCATTGGAGCTGACTCCCCCGTCTCACCTCTCTCTTCCTAAACCTCATGTCATTCCCACTACCATACACACCTCTGCCCAGCATCTTCTCTGATCTCAAGCCGAGACTAAGTACGTAAATACTGCTGTAGCCTTTACTTCAGTCTAATTGCATGGCGTTTTTGACAAGTGAAAAGCAATATGTCAGGGAGGATGTATGGATTCCTTCTACTAACTCATTAATTGTATGTTAGGATAAAGGGGGAGGGATTAGTCACCTTCGCTAGCTTATGCTTTAAGTTTGACTTTTATGAACAACAGCAGAATTTAACAATATACTCGCTTTTTTTCAGTAAATTGCAAAAAAAAAGCAACTAGAAAAAAATAACTCAGACATGGCTTGAAAACATTTGATCTTCTTCTGAACCATGAATGTCCACCAATGAAGTGGTGGAGTTACAATTTGTTCAGCAGGTTTAATGTCTGGCTTCACTTAACATGCTTAATATTGACACTATTGGTGTTAATGCCAATTCAGAGACTATGCAAATTAGTTTTCATATTTCTTATTAAGGGAGCTCCTAGAAATTAGATATTTGTATGTTTGTGACAGAATCTTTTTACTGAATAACAGAAGGTTGTCAAGGCTCCGTTAGTGATACACTCTAGAGGTTTTCTCTGGATCAAAGCTTTTTTGTCCATTTGTGTTAGATTTCTTGCCTTATAGGTAGGTTGTGGAATTAGCATTTTGAACACAAATTGGCCTTTTGCAGGTAGGGACCCAAAGAAATTGCTGGATGTGGGGTAGCCTCATTGATCGCCGGCCATGCCACGTGCTATTCTGGGCTCGTTTATTTCCTCACTTCATCTATGAGTGAAGGAAGTGCTGAAATTACAGGAAACATGCTCTCTCATGGTCACCAGGTAAAAAAGGAAAGCTTTCCCTCTGAAAGCTACTAAGAAGCTCTTTTTTTTTCATCTATAGTTGTCATTATGGCCATTGTAAATGGACTGCACGATCCAGGGGACAGACATGCCAGAAATCCGTCTATAACAGAGAGTCTTTGCCATCGGTGGTCCCCTTGGAGAAAGGTAAGATCACCCTGGCCTGGCTCCCACATCGCACACAGAGTCCTTTATGTGTCCTGCATCTTTTCTCTGCTCTCTTCTTTCTCACACGTCACCTGAAATCCTTGTTTCTCTAACCTGAAGCTGTTCTCCTCCACATAATTCATATCACAGGAGGAATTTTGCTGCTATTTTTAGAAGAAGTTGCATGATACAAAAATACTACATTAACAACAAACTACTTAAGTTAGTGTCCTTTAAGCAATAGTTAAAAGTTGTTTTAAAATCCAGTGTTATTGTATGGGATGAAGTCAATGAGTAGCTGGCATTAACTTTTATAAGGTATGGATATGTTCAAACATTCACAATACTTATTTTATAGAAGTAAACTCAAAACTGAAATGCTTCCACAGGTAATTGGAAGTCTTAAACTTTGGAGATAAACTAGGAAAATACACCACTCACTAGTAGTTGGGGTAGAAAGGTGGAATCCTACTATACCATGTCCTTTGATATTTTCTTTTTACTTGAAGGTTAAAATAAAACTTTATTTAAAAAGGCAAAATCATTGTATGCTAATTTGAACAGCTAAGGTGTATAAGAAATGATTTGAAAATTCCCTTTCCTAAAGAATTAGATCTCATTATAATATGTCCTCTCTGGTTAGATTCCATGATATGTGCCATGTTCTTTTTCAGACATGGAAAAAGAAAACAACAATTGATTTTTCAACAAGTGATTATTCTTTCTTTTCTCCTGTTTAGAAGTACTTCTGATCTCTCAGATGGTTCCTTCTGGAACTCCCCAGCTCTCCCCTAGCCAGCCCTGTGGGGCTTCACAGGCTCTGGAACTAGGATGAGAAATTAGACATGTAACTGTTTCTTTCCCTGGGACTTGAATATATTTCCTGTATTCAGACACAAACTAGTCTGTATTACTATGCACAGGCCTATATAGTATGTGTACATAGAGACATACGATTATGCACACTGAAGTCATTTAGTAGTATTAATTATCAGGAGAAAAAATGACATACTCAAACTATTCTCATGGCTCACATTTATCACTGATGATGAAGATGCAGACCACATGCTTCTTCCTAGAAGCAGCACAGTGTATATCCGATGACAGCTACCAGGATTTCAGCCATAGGCTGGGAAGAAACTAATTTCATTATAATCCAATTCAGTGTCAGCGCTGACAAATAAGGCAGTAGCCTATAATAATTACTACTGATTTACCCAACTGCAAAAATAAAAGATCTACAAAAGAAAGATGTACGGAGCATGATTTCACATCCTTCTCTTTACATTAAATGTATCCACAAATCCTTGAAGCATGTTAGGTTATATTTGAATTGGAACATTCACTATTGTTTTTCTGTTGATAAGCCATATATATTTTAATTAGTTCCTCTCAATATTCCTCATATTCAAAAATCAATATATTTTTACAATGCTTTCTCAGTTTTCCTGTTTTCCTTCACTATACACACTAGGTTTGTTTGATGTATATGTATATATATACACACACATATACATATATATGCATATATATCAAACATAAATATATATGTATAACACACATATACATATATATAACATCACACTAACAATTCAAAATTCTGGAAGTTGAGTATGATATGTATTCATATCTTTGGTCTATATTTCTTTATGTTAGTTCATTATTAAAAAATTAATAATAATTCCAATGTACATACTTACTTAGGATTGCCAACGTTTATGGAAGATTGTTAGAAATGTATTACATTGATTCACACCCTATTTTAGGAAGAAAACTCAACTCATACACTCATATTTGACCGAATTTATTTGATCTCTTATAAAATTGTTTTACTTGACCACCATGAGGCATTATGACATAGAAATAAATTAGGGTATTTTGTTGTACATGACTCAGAACTTCTCTCTTAAAATGATGATTCTCTATTTGGATGTTTTAAAAACTCTCGTGGCACACCAGTTGGGCATTTTCTCACTGATGGATACATAAAGATGCACGTTACATAACCAATGTCAGCTAACAGTGGCTAAGACTGATTGAGTGTTGAGCACTCTGCTAAGTACTTACAGGATTTCCTAGTATAACAATGGACCATTCAATGAGAGAGACGAAGAATATACTGAAGGTTGTCAGGGTTGCGTATTGACTAAGTCATAGAGCAAACACATTCGGAGCCCAGTCTAGAACCCAAGTCTCCTGGGTTCAAAATGCCGTGTTATTTTCTACCCCACAGTGCTTTGCTGAAGAGGTGAGCATAACCGCTAGGTTACTTTCTTTTCAATTGATGTGGAGGGAGGGAAGTACACCTTCTCCAATTAACCACTTTCCCTTAAATGTCCTGTTTTACTAATCCCCAACTTCTAAAGCTACACCGAAGAAAAATTCTCTTTATTGGCAAAAAAATATGGTGGCAATGATTCAAACATAATACTAGGTGAGTGAAATCTGGATTATATAGATGGCAGGCATAGAAGATAACATTTATATTTTAATCCTAACCCCCAACTTTTGAGCAAGAGAACACTAGACAGAAAACATAGTTGAAAGTAATGTATTGGGCATGTGCACATATGGTTTTTAACACAAGTGTGTAAATTATTCAAGGAAAAAACTCTAATTCTCTTGTTGAGATAACTGACAGAGCCAGAAAACACGAAAATTCCCCCGGAACCCTTGTATTATACAAAATTCTGTTCAATGTCAGATTTAAGGTAAGGTACAGTTCCTTCTGAATGACTTGGGGGTTTTGTTCGAAGGAGGGAAGAAGCTCACATCACTGAGAACAGAGAATATTGAGGACATTCAGCCACTTATACATGCACCAAATTCCAGTGAGCATGGAATGGAAAGAACACAATACTTAAAATGAGGTTCAATATAATCAGAAAAATATACAAATATCTGACTGATTTCTTAAGAAAAAGATACAAGTAGGAGTTATTCCTGTGAAATAATAGCAGGGAACCAAAATAAAAGGGTGACATACAGGCAAGTATTAATACAGAGAGGTGTCACCATAAGTAATTAACTAGTTATCAAAAAAGGGAGCAATGGGAATTCAACATTGAGCTGAATAAACAGGAGAGCAGGAGTCTGCTTGCCTCACCGGGAAGCTACAGCCACACTTCAGGGAATCAAGGCATTTCTCTGCCAAGGGGATTAACATTCTGCCCTTCACCCTCTAGTGCCAGATCTTTGGGGCACCCAGCAAGTGCTTGACCAAAGAGGCCTGTCAGTGTAACTAGGGGGTGCACACCTATCAAAAACCAACAAGAGCTTGGGAACTTGAATGGTTCTTTTGGAAAAGCACCTAGTCCATCCCAAACCCAAGCCAATGTAATCCCCAGAAGAACAAAGACTCTCTCTCTCTCTCTCTCTCTCTCTCTTTCTCTCTCCTTCTCTCTCTTTCTATCTGTCTGTCTCTCTTTTTCCATCATTCTCTCCTGACCCACACTTGCCTCATTCATTGACGTCCTCTCTTACCAAGGACCCACAGTCGCCCTATGCATTCACACATTCATTCTCCTGGGAGCCCTCAACCATGTAAGTCTAAGCAACTACCAAGGTCCACAGCAGACTGCGTGGGCCTCAAAAGACTAAGCTTTAATATGAAGCTGCAGCTCAGACACTGGCTTTTTGATGAAGGCAAGGTTGGACTTTTTCCATGGTGGGACGGGCAGAGATGGGACCTTGGAAATCCAGGGGCAGCCTTCCCCACAAATAAACCCTCTTGCCACAGCACAATTTCCCCTGAAAGGGTCCTTGGAATGCTTCCTTCTGATCCTGTGGGAGGACTTGATTTCCACTGACAACAAATATAGAAATAAGAAAGAAAGTGAAACAAAGAAACAGGCAAACAGAAAATAATTAATATTCAGTTAGAGGTAGTACAAAACTATTATTAGCTGAAGTTCTTTGGTTTCATATAAAAAGCAAATAGAGAAATTAGACTACAAAGGAAATACGTAGATAACTGAGAGAGGAATAATGGAGGTGATGGAGTGGGAGAGAAAAGAGAGAGAAAATGAGGATGAAAAATGGAGAACAAAAATGCAATTAATCAAAATTGCTCACCAAATTTTAGGCAGAATTAATTAACATCAGCATAATTATATGTGTGTTATATATATAATTATATATAGCAGGTTTCAAAAACGATAGTAGTTTATAATCTTTCTGGCACTAAACAATTTGTGTTTGCATTATGCTTTCTAGAGCAAAAACAGAATAAAAGTATAGTTAGGTCTTTAGGAACTTTTTTTTGGCAAGGGATCTTATCAACGGGTTGGGTTTTACCAATAGGACAAACATTAATATTTAAGAAATTAATCAATACCATCAAGTAAAATTTTTACTTAACTAAAGCAATGAAAAGGAATGGACATCATATGAGAGCAACAAATAACTATAACAGAAAAAAGAAAAGGAATACATATAGCATTAAAGAAATAAATAAAACTATAGCAGAAATGAATTATTAAAGTCAATTTAAAAGTAATTTAAATGGATTAAATTCTCCTATTAGAAGACATAGATTCTAAAACTAAGAAAATCTGTCATAAATAGAGCAATAATAGACTAAATAAAATTAGAATTTTAGTGGTAAGCAGCCAATAAATAAAATCATAAAGACAGCAGATACAATATAGATATATTTTTAGAAGTAGAATTCAATTCAAAAACATTGAATACAGGAAAAATACTTTATAAAGACCAAGTTATTCTATAAAGATAATGATTTAAGGTATCTTTATATAAATACACATGAATATATAACTTGCAATAATCTCATACATAGTCAAAGAAAATTTGAAGAAATAAAATCCACTAACACATTTTTATTTGTGATGTTATATTTTTATAACATTTAATTATCATTTTACATGTAGAAAAGGTTAAAGTGCACATACAGTTGAGCACAATCACACTGCTGTATAAAGTTGTGAGACATTAACACAATTACTATGTTCAAAATTTTTAGAGGAAAGCCAAGGTTAAGCTATAAAGTAAAAGCTTTATTTCCTCTATCTAACTTCCCTAAGACCAAATACAACTATTTTATATTTGCAGCTCATTATATTAGTATAATATTTTTGCTTTTCTTCATGTGCACATGGATTTATTTAACCTCTAAATAAGTGATCTATTAGAGTAGGTATTCATTTTAATACATATTTTGCTAATTTATAGTAATTAATTTGCGTAATTAATTTTTTAAATAACTAGAGTATGATTGCTAAAATTAGCTCAATGCTTAGATGCGCCCATCCTTCCTAGAGTGTTCGTCCTTCTCTTTGTTTCATTATTTATATTCTCACTGTGTAGCAGAACTTGTACCTTCTCACTAAGCAACGTTCCGACCTCCTCTTGGGTGTACCACTCATACTCTGCAGTAATGAATGCCATGTATCCTTGATAGCGGAGGAGACCTCTCTCTGTTTCGTATTCAGTCGATTTACACTAACATGTTCTTTCTTCCGATCTCATCGTTTCCAGGGGGAAGCAAAAGGTTCAATTCGGGAACTCTTAGGGCTTGTGTTATTATGTCAGTCAAAAGATTATTCTGCAAACAGGAAAACAAACTAACAGAAAGACTTAGTATTCCATAGGGCGTTGAAATTCCCCTTCATAGCTCAGCAGCCTGTGGCATGAATTGAGTTTCCCCCCGTGGAACTGGAAAGTGTTCCTCTCACAAAGCTGAATTTCAGCATCAATAGATGTGAGCTGTCATGGTGGTTACATCAGGGGACTCTCTCAGCACTTTGCTCTTGTATCATTAGGCTTTAAGAGTCTTCATTCATCTGGATTTGATTTCAAACACTTTATGAAGTCACATAATTATATGCAGTTAAAGCTACATCTGAGATTT